TCAATAAATCATCATTTGCTTGAAAACAAATATTCAATTTGATATTTAGACTAAAATAATGGTCAATAAACTTTTGTCCTTAAACTGTATATATATTTTCATCATAATGATCCTTTTGACGTGCTCAAATCATATATGTTGCACGATAACCTTCAATTATTTGACCTTCCGCTTTTTTTTTCTTTTTTTCGTTTCTCCTTGTCTCACACTTCTATATTTCACGCACCCTCTTGTATAATGAACTTGATGTAAATTTTGCGTCATTTTATTGCATCGCTACGCTCGGTTACTATTCGATTTCTAGAATATATTAAATCAGCATAATGGCTACGAATTGGGCCATGTCCTATAATGATGATTTTTATGGACCACCACCTGCTTATTCAGTAACTCCACCACCATCTATTTATGTTATTCCCGATACACGAAATGAATATCAAGAAAGACCATTGTCTCATGCATCTATTGTTTTATCATCAATCCTTTTACAATATTTACTTATAACTGGTATTATTCATATCCTTATTGGTTTAGCATCTGTTGTTTGTGATATTCTTTTAATTAGTATGAATGAATCGTATTCATTTACTGGTTTTTGGGCAGGTGTATTATGTGTAGCATTAGGAATATATCTTATTTTATTTATGAGTCATCCTAAAAAACAAACATGTTCTTTACAACGTTTTAAATTTATTCATATTGCTGTATGTCTTATTATCATAGCTTCATTAATATTTTCATCTCTCAATCTTGCATCAGATTTTTGTTATGATACATATTTTTTTCAATCATTTCGATGTGAACAATCGGCTAAGAAACTAAAAATTGTTCTTATTGCATTTTTTTCTTTTACATTTGTACAAATATGTATGACTGCTATAATAACATTTGTTCATACTACTAGATAGATAGTAGTATTGTCTAGTAGTGACAAGTTACGATAGGACAACAAATAAAAGTTATTGGCTGAATAAATGATCCGTTGCTTTTTTTTTGCCGTTCTCGCGTTAATCATATGATAGTCGCCTGTGTAGGTATGTTTTTTTTTGCTATTTCTCAAAGAAAAACGAATATTTTTTGATTAATATGCGCGTGACATATGAAAACAATTACTTTTTACAATATTCCGAATCTAAATAAAATCTATGATGACAGATATAAGTTCTTATACAATAGGAGCTATATTATCTCTTCAAACACTATGTACATGTATAATTTCAACAATTGGACAATATGTTTATGCATATTATCTTGAAATTTATCCAACACAACCAAATAGTACACATAATTTTTCTACTATGAATTCAATAATTACATATAATTTTTTAAAAAAATTTAATGATGATACTAAACAATGTATTGAAAGTGATATTTCACTCGACAGTGATGCTCAAGCATGGGCACAACAACAATCAGCTGATTTATTTTTTTGGACTAATTTATTTAGTAGTTGTCCATTAATTATAATGACATATATACTTGGTTTATATACACCTAAATTAGGTCAACGTTTTGTTCTTATATTATCAATGATTGGTACACTTATTCAATTTATAATATGGTTAGCAATTATTTATTTTCATTTACCTGATTATTGGTGGTATATAGCTGCTGTTATTATAGGTCTATCAGGATCTAGTGGTATTCTAAGTATGAATATATAAAATGAAAATTATTTTTTTAGATTTTTTTTTAAATTTATTTATTTGTACATTAAGGTTTTGTATTAACATTAATTATAACTGAAACTACAAATGAAGATGATTTATCATCACGTTCTGTACGTCTTGGTGCATTACAAACAGGTATATCAGCTATTGGAACATTTGCTATTGGTTATTATATAGATTGGCGTGGTTTTACAGATCTATGTTGGATAGGTTTAGGATTAGAATTGTTATCAATATTAATTGTTATTTTTATTTTTAAATCAACTAATTCGAATCTTAATGAACGAACACCTTTATTAATATCAACAAATGATAATGAATTTAAAGAATTATCTACAGATAGATGTACGGATTTTTTTCAAGTTTGTACAGTATTTCATTTTAATGAACGACGAACATCAAAAAAATCGACAAGTCTTCTATTAACATTATTTTCAAATATTTTTTATACATTAGCATCATCAACATTTGCACCATTTCTATGGTTTCTTCTAAATGCACCATTTTGTTGGACATCAAAAGATATTGGAAATTATTCAGCATTAGCAGCTATATCTTATGCTATATTAAGTATACTTGGTATGCAAGCATTAACACATGCTGGTGCAAATGATGCTGTTATTTGTTTAATAAGTCATATGTTCTTTTTTGCCTCATCTTTATGGTTAGCATTTGCACGTCATGATTGGGAATTATATGCTGGATTATTAGTAAGTGCTTTTTCAGGTTATCAAGGTTCATTAACAATGTCAATGATGACTAAATGGTTAGAACCATATGAACGTTCAAATGCATTTACATTTGTAACAGAAATTAACACAATTATGACAACATTTGGTACAACATTTTTTACTTGGGTCTATGCACGTACAGTACTTAATTATCGAAATTTAACATTCCTTCTTGGTGCTGGACTTTGTATTATTCCGACAATTTTAAATTTGTACGTATTTGATTGATATCTAAGCAAAAAAAAACACAATGACTATTTGGTGAAACACGATTTAAGAGTAGTGTTAAAATAAAAACACTGTTAAATTCACACCATTACATGGAATTCATCAGATTTACCATGATCTTGACTGTGAGACTTATCGATGCTGAAGTCGAAGATCTAATTTCCAGACAGTTCAACTAAAATGACTATGAGAAAAATTTCACGAAAATTTAATGCAGCAACTTGAGAAATCAATGTAGGAAATTGATATTAACCCTTAAAAGCCGAGCATAGTCCTTTTTTTTTGATGATGTTAAAAAATAGAGATTCTGAATACTCAGTAGGATCATATTACAGTTAGAAAGAAAAAAGAACTTTTTTCTTATAGAGATACAGAATATCTTTTAGAAGGAACATTCGGTCTTAATGATATGAATCTAACATTTTTCTTAATTTATGTGAGAAAATTTGTTTTGCGAATTATCACTAAACAAGGTCTTTAGAGTAAAAAATGAGTTTAAAATAAATAATAGAATTAAAAAACTCTGCTGTACCCTCTGATAATCGCGTACGAAGCATTTTGATTTTTACTTTATGATTTGTAACATCATGTTAGCCTGAGAATACACTTTTTTGCATATAAGGTTTTATGAAATGAATAATAGTAACTACTGCGATTTTCTTTGAAAGAAACATTTAGATTTTTTAATGGTTAATATTAAATGAGGCGTATATCTTTAGAGCTGGATTGCGTCTGAAAAGATAATGAAAACAACTAACTGATAAGACTAGTCATCAAATCTAATATTCAAGTTACTCAATAAAGCATATCCGAATAGTTAACAGTAATAAGATGAATGACATGATCCAACTTAACCACAAATATATACATTTCATCTCTGTATATTGTGCATAATAACATGAATCTTCTAAAAATTAGAATCTACCGTGACAGATACTTTGTCAACATCTTCACCACGCAACAAACATTGATATATGATCACATATTGTATATGAGTAACATCTCGTTATTATATATCAACTACTTCCTTATTGCATCTCTAGAGAATTAAGTAAAAGGATGATGAAGAAATGTAACTTAAAATAAATTAAATAAAACAATCTTCATGTAATTAGTAACAGGAGCTACATCATGTTTCATATTTTAATGTCATATGGATTGCCTCTAACAGCATCTTTTTTGTATAGATGCCTTGCTCTGATAACACGAAAAATATCAGAAGAAGATTTACCACCATTATCTGAAACAGATGTCGAACCAGCACCATTACGTTTACCGAATAATGGACCACCACATGCAGGTGATGCGACTTGTATTGTTATTCCATCTCGATCGTTAACTTCATCTCTACGTACACCAAATGTTGAAAGATCTCGAAGTAATTCGATTGATGATAATGAAAGTGAAGACGTATTAAATTCGTCAAGTAATGATTTGATTACTCTTTAACCTCATTTTTAATATGAACATGTTTATTTTTCCATTTTTGTTTTTTTTTTTTTTGTAAATAGATATTTAAAAGTCAGAACTAGAAATGTTTTTGTTTCTTTTTGTATTCCAGTGAAAAATAAAATGATAGAAAGTTGAGAAAAAAACAAATATTACGATCACTGTCAATATCACGTGCATCAAAATACTTAATTGATTCGATTACCTGTTTTTACAGAATTTTTAATTCAATCACCATTGTGTCTTAACATGTGAAAACTTAGTTATTTCAGTCTTTCCATTGTTTAGTTTTCTAAAATAGTCATTGCTTTGAATATTCGTATTGATGAATATTTCTTTTGTTATGAAAAATCTCATTCGCCAACAGAATCAATATCATAAATCTTTGTGTTTATTGATAAAGAAAAGCATTAGTTTTACTGTGTTATTTAGTAGAATATTAATAAGATACTGCGTCCTGTAATCCTTTGATCTTATTGCTTTCTTCTTGATTGATGACAATATTACTGACAAGAGAAGATTCCCAAGTGAGAAATCTTTTTTAGACTGAAACTCTATTCCATCGATAGGGTCCAGTGAGTAAGGAAATACCTTAGAGTGATTTGAATTTTTGGATCTTCGTTGATAAAATATCAAATAATAGAAAATTAGACAGTGGTGGCGATAAATTATCAGTTTCGGATATCGTTACCAATGTCGGCATACCCATATGAACTGGTAATGATAGTAGAGGACTAGCTGATGATGTAGCAATTTGTTCGTTTCATTAGAGGATATTGTGTAGGACTACGATTCGGTTCAAATTGTGATAATAATGGTGAAGTTCGTCAAGTAATCGTTGGTGAATGAATATTTAAATTTGGTGATGGCTGGATATTATATCTATTTGATGGTGACTTTGGTGTAGCTGCGCTATTAGAATTCATTGTCCACGAAAATGAATAAGATCTTGTAGACTACGATATTGTTGTTTTCCGGTTGATTGTCGAATAAGTCGAGTTTGAGATGATGCTGAGGTTGAAGAATAAACAGATTCTTATTGATACAGATTAAATCTTCTCTGAATATGAAAATATTATAGAAACTTTTCTCTACCTAATACCGGTAATCGAAATCGTCCATGTTTGCCAGATCGATGTGCATGATGAACATGAAAAAAGTTTCATTGAATCTCGACCATCATTTCTAAAAAATCAAATGATTTGGTTTAATTTTTTTAAATTCAGCACACACTAATCGATAAGTATTAAATAACTGAAGAGCTGATGTTGGCTCAGCTTGTTCATAAAGTAAACGAAATGATGATGGCATCGCAGCACGATTATTTAAGTCTTGAATAGTTACTAAAATGAAAAAAAAAACAAGTAAGTGCTTTAATAATAAATAAAAGATTCATCTTTTTCAATATTTGAATCTAACTGTGTTACTTCTATACGTTGAAATATATATCCAGAAGCTGTTATTAACTTATCAAATAAATCTTGTGCGTCAGCAATTAATTATCGAATTACATTTGCATAACTGTTCATGTGCTAAATGGCATTTGATTCACTTATTATAATGACAATATTATAGTTCATAAGATATATATCAATATAAAGTGGACATTTCGTTGTTCATGTTTGTTCGTCTCTATCGAACAAGTCTTGATTTTTATTTGTTAGCCAATAACAAATAGATATGAAATGATCATAGGTGATGTTATGTTCGCCTTGCTTACGTCTCAAGTGAAAGTAAATTACCTAAAATACTTATGAGTCCGAAAAAGTACTAGATTTTGTAATTCCCAAGAATTAAAAAAAAATACTCTAATGGTATTCTGCAAAGTAAATAAAAGTACTTTGCTTATTGGTTACAGAAATACTACATAAATGTTCCAATTACTTTCTTTTATCTATCTGTTTTAAGTCGAGACGAAGATACGTCTTGGTTTTAATTTTATGAAACTTTTCTTTTTCTTCTTTTCTTATTCATACTATTTTGAATCGTTCTTTGCGAACGTTTAAGCTAAGAATTTCAATCGAAACAACTAGTCTTATATAATCTATATCAAGTTCTATTTAGCTTTAATTCAAGGCTAGTTAAATCTAGGACGTTATAGAGTTCGCCACTGTTTTATATTGACGTTTAGCTTCTCTTTACTAGCTTCGGCCAAAAAAAACTAATGAGACTTTTAACTTATGCTTTTTGCATAGTATTTTCTATCACTGTTTATTTATTTTTGAATTTTACGTAGTTCATAGATGATATCTAAAGTCTAAATATGTAATGTTGTTAAGTTTGGTTGAATTATTTTCCAATCTCTCAAAACAAATGATAAATGTTTTAGCTTATATATATATAAAATATTTTCGAAGAAGTCGTTGGTATTTATATCATAGGCATGAATCAGTGTAGATGAATATTCTTTCTAATAAAATAAGTAGGTATTCGCTATGTTTTCTTAATGCAAACGAACATTAGAACTTATTTTGAGTTAAAAGAAAATTATTTCGTAAATTTTTGCTCAACTAAAAATAAATACTAACTAGCGAGGGAACATTTTTCAACTAATAAATCGCTATTGAATTCACACTTCGTGCATAAGGTAAATTCTGGTGAGAAACAATAAACCTGAAAAGGATAAGTGCTTTTAGGCCCTCTATTAGGAATTATAACAATTTTATTTGAATTTTAGCTTAGGGCATGCTAAATGCGAACAAATCGAATCACAATATTTCGACCTGAGATTTTGTCTATAAATAAGTCTGTTTGTCAGTAGAATGCTCGGAAAATTTCAGCTCAAAACAATGTTTTCTTCCAAGGTTATTGAAGACTCCCAAATTACTCATTTTTCACCGAAGATTCTAGAATTGTCTGTTTTGTGAGACTTCAATAACTGACAAAGAATATTTTCTTTTGAGCTGAAATTTTCAGGCCATTCATATATCTCTGAACTCTACCTTATGCATTGAGTTTAAATTCACAAGCAATTTATTAGTTGAAAACATTATCTCGTAAGATTAACTTCGCCTGTGACGCATACATTTTGTTTTTATGTTGTTTTTTGCACATGAAAATATTTTTCATAACAAAATACAAATAGTAATAAACTTGTTTTTATATAGAAATCAGTTATTTAGTATAATTCTTTGAGATATTTTATTATTTAGAATAAAGTATCAGCAAATAATATGGCAAAGGAAATACGAGGTACGCATTTGTACATTGCTTCAGGTTTTTAATGGAAACCTTGTTCATACTTGGAACCGATCGAGATTCTTTTAACCGAACGGGTCCAATTCTAATTATAACCCTACTTGTGGCAGATTCACATTGATATGCTACTGTCAGATTGATATTTCTTCATCTATCGAGATTTTCTCTTGTTTTTTTTTGTGAAACAAAATTTTCTTTTAAGATGATACAACGTCTTCGTTTCTATCAAATACCATGGTCTCATTACTGTGACAAAGTTCGTTGGGCGTTGGATTTGAAAGAAATTCCTTACGAACTGATCAATTATAATCTGTTCGGAAAAACGACAGGTTTAGAACGAGCACCCAAAACAATGCCTAAGCTAATGCCGATGCTTGAAGATCCAAATAATAAAGATGATAATCAATTTCAATATGATTCAACACCAATTTTAGTCTATTTAGACACTCAATATCCTCGATCGTCTGTTTCCCTTTTCCCATCATCAAGTGAACAACGTGAACAAATGATTGATACATGTTTACGTCTTGATTCGACATTAGGTCTTTATGTACGTCGTATTGCTTATGTTCAAATACTCAAAGAAAGTCCACATATATTGTCACTTGTACTTCGTGAAAAGTATTCATGGGCAAATAATCCAGATGATATTCGCTCACATTTAATTAGTCCATTCATCGCTTGTTTTATAATTGCTCGATAGCGAGTACATCGTATCCGTGAAGAACAAGTAAGAGAAAAAACAGAAGAAATTCTTTTGAAGATTGGAAATCATTGACGTACGAATGATTATCTTGTTGGTAATCAATTTTCGGCATCTGATTTAACATTTTGTTCACTTGTAAAATTATTAATCCGAGTACCCTGTTTCTATGATGATCGTCGCTTTCAAATTATTTTTGATTATCATGAGCGAATTCGATGAAACTACGATCCAAAATATCCGAATATTGATAATGATCTCGAGAAAAATATAGATAAACATCGAATACAAATTAAAAAAAATGAAAAAAATTTAACTACTCGTCTTAAAACATTTATTCATCAAATCAATATTGTACAACGAATTTTTATTATGATTATGACCATGATTGTTAAAAATACTTATGAACCAAAAACGGATGATGATATACCTCAATTCAAAACATCATCATCACAGAACAAACAAGAAAAACAAGCGATCAATGATCAATAACGGATCAATTATAAGTCCACTTGGTCTATGATCAAGTTCTTCTTCAAGTATCACTGCCATCGATTATTTACTATTCCAAGCCAAGCAGCCTATTTAGATAAAAAGAAATAGTTGTTATCCTTATTAAATATGCTAATGATTCAATGATATCCTTAGAAGATTTTTTTAATCACTAAGAAAAGCATCGAACAGCTGGTAAAGAAAGATTTTCTATTCTTTTTGTTTATGTTATCTTCTTTCTAATTGAGTTATTTTGATGTTATAAATAAAACTGGTCCTGACTCAAGAAAAATAAATTTTTCGATAACTTGTTGAAAGTTAACTTTCTGTTAGGATGTGTGTAGGTGTGGCTGTGGCGTGTGGGGTGGGTGTGGAGTGTAGGCATGAGTGTGGATGTTGATCAAGAGAAGACTAACACCCACCCACACTCGACCATAGAACGATATCTAGAGTTGGAGGGAGGGGGGAGGGTATTTGGTAGGATAACTCAATGTGTACCTATCCTGAAATTTTTATGATTCTGTGTCACCTCAAACAAAAATGACATGCTTCTCAGTGGACACCAGTCAGTGTTCGACTCGAGTCGGGTCAGATATGTATTTTTCAGAAATGAAAATCATGTTAATTTTTTGTTCATAAGTTCTGTCATATCACAACAAACAATTAGATACAATAAAGCAACATGTATAATATCATCTTTTGTGTTATTTCATTATTTTCCATTCATTGATATCTTACGAGCATTTATATTAAGTATATAATATATTATCTAGTGATGTGATAGTCTTAAATTCCGTACATGATATAAATGAATGCAGAAAAACACTGAAGTATTATCAGATGATATTGTTGCTCTAACTACCCCAAATCAGTGGTACATTAAAACCGAGAAAAGATCAAGGACATGTTCTTATGTTTTTAAATGCACAATAAAATAAAAACAAAGGAACTGACAAATTGAATTTCTCAAAAGAAAGAAAAGCGATCGACTGATATATATACGGATACACATTATAGTAGAAAAACAAGGAATTTTAAGCACAGCTGATAAGTACATATATATGCTACTAGAAAGGAAAGAAAGAAGATCGAATACATTTTTCAACCATGATGATACTCCTAAAATGACAGAATCGAAAAAAATTGTTAGAGAACTGTCAAAGAGACAACATTAAAGTACTTTAAGAAAAAAAAATAGAGCTAAATAGAAATAAGGTGTAAATAAATATCGATGCATACATCCATTTCAACTCTTTTTATCACTCCTGATAATATTGAATTCGTTTTGTGCGTTTACTTTATACTTGTTACTCGTATTGCTTCAATTTTCATCAAAAGTCATCTATATGATAAATTCAAGTGATATTAAGAAACTTCTTCGAACTAAACCTGACAAATATGTAATCAAGAATTACAACGCAAAAAAGTCGTCAAGTTCACGCTGGTCAAAGCTCGGCTTACTAGCTGAAATTATCAATGAGAAAACTAATGAATTTAAAATTATTGATGGATTTGTAAGTTGTGAAGATTGCTTTACCACGTTCATGTTTCGTTTCGGATCTAACGGTACAGGTACCAACAATCTTACAGATCATAACTGTTCAAACAAAGATGTAAATCAACCAACTCTTCCTGAAGTATGTTTTCATTTCTCCTCACCAATTTCAGCAGATAGTCAGACCGGTTTATTTTTTTTGTTAGGTTATTCAAGAAAAAAATATTTCAGATACACATTGTACAGAACTAATTGATTCTATTGCTAACTGGTGCGTGACTAGCATGTGTCCATTTCACTGTGTTGAAGATCCATGTTTTATAATTGTATCTCAGTTCTTGTTAGATATTGGTGCTCGATACGCACGATTACCTGTAGGAAAAGTAAGAGCAGAAAATATTTTGCCTTGTGCAAATACAGTCAAAAGACGTATTCAAACTCTTGTAGGCATTACTCGATCAGAAGTAGCAGCTCATTTAGCTGCTGCAGGTGCACGTGGTGAACTGGCGTTTAATCGAGATCTTTAGACAGATCGGTATAAAAAACACACACATCTGGGTATAAAAGGTTTTTTTCTTATGTTATAAAGCATATCTATCTTATATTTACAGGTATGACAGCTATTTTCGTTGAAGATTCTGTTATAAATACAATTGTTTTATGTTGTCGTGAGTTCCTATATCAGAAAAAATCGGCAGAGAATGTATTCAAATCAATTGACGCAATTCTGAACGAATTTAATATTCAATAGTATCGAAAATCAGCAATTTTCGTTATTGATCGTGGATCAAATTTGAAAGCAGCTCTTTCACATGACCAAATTGTTCATTGTATCGTTCATCGCATACATAATATTCTTTTAGATACCTTCACATGTCAACAATCTATCCTAGGATTAAATTTTTAGACTTATTAAATTTTTCGATATAAATATAGTGCCTAAAGCCACCGTTGATGATACTCTCCAAACTACTAAAAAAATAAAGAGACGAAAAGAGTCAGACGACAGTGATTCGGGTGAGTTGAACAGTGAATTTGATGAACAATGCACCGGTCCATTACGTATAGTAGTTTTAACCATTAATGGATGTAAAAAAAGGTTCGATATATCAGAAAGACAGGCTTAAATAGAAAAATACAAGAAAAAGGTGGTATATGTCTTATTCAAGAAAGTCAAACAACTTGGTTGTCATTACATGCGATGTTAAATAGCATTGATGGATCATATGACATTCTGATTATAATTCTCTCTGAAATGAATATGCTTCATCTTCTTACATCGATCGACTGAAAAGTACTTAAGGTAAGCACTATATTTCGTTAAATTGTATTCGATACTCGTATGATTAGTCACAGAAATTTATTCATATTCGAAATCTCTGCATTATTTTATAGGATATCCTCTGGTTTCTTGAGCCATTTCGTCGGATAATCGTCGATCTTCAAACAAAGGATCGCCCTACATTGACTATGATGGTTCCCTCTGTTTGGTATTGAAAAGATGAACTAAAGATAACAACTGTTGACTCATCAATACTAGGTTTTAAAAAAAAAGTGTAGTGCCATTCTGGAGCAAAAAATAGAATCACAAGATATTCATTTTGCAGCTGCTATGCTGAATCCAAGTTATCATACTTTGCGGCAGGCAACGAAAGAAGAACAAACACGACCACAAAAATATTTAAGAAAAAGATTAGAAGGTATTACTCAATCTGTTGCATCATCAGTACTTATGCGTAGTGACAGTGATGATGATCATGACAATCGTGATTATTTTGCAAGATATGTAGATAATCCACCAATATCACGTAAAAAAGATGAAATATCTCGATATCTTAAATTTGACCATTGTGAAACAAACACATCTGATATACTTGAATTTTGGAAGACAATGATTGGTTTTATCCATCTTTGGCTAAACTCGCATTTCAAATTTTCACAGTCCCAGCAACATCGGCTAGCGTGGAACGTAGCTTTAGTGCGGCTGGGCAAGTGATATCCGAACGTCAATCAAACATTTCGCGGATGTAATTGATGATATTGGTTTTCTACGTTCAATCAAGAAAAACAAGTAAAAGAGAAGAAAAAAAAGAAAAAGAAAAGAAAAGAAATGAACATAAAACAAAATAAAATAATTTTAAATAGAATGCTGGACAAGACAAAACGCAACTTGTCAAAATAGAATACACATTGATTTTTGTTTAAAATGAGTAAATTCTAATTAATTCTAAAAGATATATATGCTAAAGCTTTGCTTGTATTAATCAAAAAATAATTGCCTTCGGATCGGGTCATGTCTTGAAAAAAAATTCTTGTCCTCGGGTCGGGTTATAATACAACCAGATCAGATCGGGTCAACAAAAAACTCGGGTTGGGTCACTAAAAAATTGACCCATGTCAAACACTAACACAGGTGAGATCAACATCATCAGTTGAAGGAAAATGGTGTCAAATTAAAAATTGACTATCTCAGTGAAGACTTGAGCTATCGAAGTGCTCTTAGTAACAAAAGACTTGCTAACTTGAACACTTTTGAAATATGTATGTAAAATCAAAATTCAAAAAAAAATCGATTGAGCAGCCTTTTTGGTAAAAGGTCGTTTCTTAACTCAAAAGGCTCTTAAAGGTAAATTTTCCAACCAGAAAAAAACAACGTATGTTTTAAATATATCCTTATGATTATTTTGCACATATTGTGATATACATTGTTTTTTGTGTATTAGTATCGTATAGCTGTGCGAATGATGGATTAGAGAACCAATAAAACTAATAAAATTTCGAGAATATGATTTGTCATCAGTAAAACAAATGAAATGATTAGTAAAAAAGCAGAAAAATGATCATTGTCAATATTGGATGGTCAATACGATAATGATCAGTTTTTTTAATTGAAGTCTGTAAAAATTCAAACTTTGTTAATAAGAAATTCAAATTAAATTAGTAAAAAAATGCAGATTTTATTTGCACAAGAAATAATTTTTATTTGTATCATGATTAATTTAGTACAAGAAAAATAATTTAAATAAATAATAAAATCACAGAATAAATAACAAGAAATTCAAAAGTAGAATAAATAGAAATTCAAAGATGGAAAGAAAAAAAAAGAACTGAAAGTTTAATTATTGCACTAACAGAGCAAATTAACTCTTTGCTGATTAACTTTTTCTTTTCACATCGAGTGACACTGCTTTTGTCGCTGGTGTTGGCTTTCAGTACTTCAAACGAATGACAATACAAATAACGTGTTTAGATAAATAATTCTCAGAATAAAGCTGGACCATTGGATTTTGATTTTTCCCAGTTTGAATCCTTCATTTCGAAACACTAATAATCAAGCGATTCTTTGACTCGAGTAAAATTTGTTCACTTCTTACTTTGGTATTAATCTAAACTCACTTGTATAATTGATTGCCAATCATGAGTTGGTATATCATTCGTTTTTGAAAACTTAGTCGAAATAAAAGTTAAACCTTTTGGTTGATTTACCCCATTGATATGTTAAAGTTCGTACTCGTGTAAAGATATTGTCCGTTTGGATATGAATATTTTTGG